TGGTCACGAGGAGAAAAGTAAGTTTTATTTTAAAAAATTAAATTTATCCTACTGGGTCAAATGCAAACATTTATTTCCCCAAGCTCTTTATGGACTTGAACCCATACCCCTTTCTCTAACATTCCTTAACTGAATCTGAAGATAGCAAAACAGGAAAACAAGTTAAGCTGTAATTTTAGGTTACACAAATGTTTATGAAGTTCTGACAGGAAAGAAAAACTGGTATACAGCCTGCAAAAGCTCAAGCAGCTCATGATACTAAAACAGTGAACTGCGGGAAGACTGACAGCAAGGGTTGAGCCATTACATAAGTGACTGCCAGAGAGCTCCTGCTCTGGTTTACAGGAATGAAGCAAAAAGCGTGTGGTAACTACTAAAAAACAAGTGGGCAACAGACTCGTTTTTTTAGCTCCTTGTTGTATTGAAAACCACATTTTGAGACACAGATTTTGAAAGCTGCATTTAGAAATCTCAAGTAATTCAAAGCATGTAAACATTTCTTTAAAAAATCAGAACCCATACACATATTTTCTTGCCATTTGTATACGAACATGATCAAAATTAACATCCTCCATAGTTAGTATCCAAACTTAACATTGCCCTTTGCATCAGAAATTTGGAAAAATCTTGGAAACAAACTAGTGAATCCACAGGCTATATTATTTTGGGTTTAGTGGAAACAGAATTTTACCTTTACATGCAATTTTAAAGAGACATCTGTGCCACTACATAACTGAACAGCTCTGTCAACCTTATATCCCTGAATTGGTAAGCCAGAAATAAAGATGCACTTTGGGACAGTGCAATATACACTGCAGCATAGAAGACCAATGCTAGGAAACAAGCCAAGAAAAAAGATTTGAGACCAAGGAAGTTAAGCTAGCTCTGAAATTTAAGAAATATGTAAACATCCAAGAACTACAAATAAACCACTTCAAGGTCATGTTCTATAGAAGCAGATCTGAAGGACTGTTTCTTGTAAAAATGACAACTGGGCCTGAGGTGCATGTGAAGATCTACAACAGCAAGTGATTTGTCTTACAATAGCTAACACTGTTTTCTCCCTTAATGTAACAAGGCCAATAAAAATAATGAAGCTATTACACTTCAGAACTTTTGATTTTAAACACCAAACCCAGAGACTACCTAACTCACAAGTGAATACCAGCAAGATGCTGGCTGCACAGGCTCTTTGCAGACAAATCCATCAATGTCACCAAGGGTTTAATCACCGCACGATGATTTTAAAAGTTTTGTTTAGTGAACCGTTCAGAGCCCTACATTAATATGCAGAGAAACTGGATGAGAAAGGGGATGAAGAACATTCATTAGCAATGTGCCATCTATTCCCTCTCCTACCGCTCTCTTAGTTGAGTGATTTGAACTTTGGAGACCAGAATAACCATACTGATATAGTCTATTACACAAGATTCAGACACTAGCATTATAAGAGCCACCATGCTCCAGACACCAATGGAAGTTCTAACTTCTATCAGTATTTGACATAGAAAATTCCCTATATGTGTTCCAAAAGAACCAACAGGTGCTCTTTAAAAACTTTAAAATAAGTTTTTCTAAATAGATCCCCTGAAGGTGAAGAATGTATCTCTTCAGTGTACAACTGCTGCATTTGAATAATGATTGGTTTGCTCAAGACACCACTCCACTTGCAACCACTGTCATCAATCATCAGCACCACAAGAGTAATTTTTCTGAAAGCAGTTAGACCTGAGGCTTCTGGCATCCAGATTACCGAGGAACATCAAGACAAATGGTTGTTTTCTCCAAAACCAAAAATGTTACACTTTTTCCAGAGTTCTGCTCTTGAAGCACAGGAAGTCTGTCCAAGCACCATACAGCAAAATAAAATTTTTATCTCATTTCTGAGTCTTAATGTCTTGGGACAGGGAAAGGAGGAAAAAAAAAAGTCACTTTGAACACATTTTTTGTCATGTTATTGCTTCAGAGAAGTCCTTTGGGTGAAATTTAACAAAAAGTAGTTTAACCTCCTGGAATATATAAATGCCACACAACACTTGTGAATGCAGTAACCAGGGTAGACACAAAAAGAGGACCAAGCCCACCCATAGTGCATCAGCACAGATGCCTGAAAAGGGGTTAAATAGTTTCTGGATTAGCAGAGATTGGAATAGAGCTCTCATCTTCCTCTCCCTTCCCAATTCCTTTCCTGATGAATGCCCCTTTGAATGGCCTGTTTATTAGAATACTGTAAACTGACTGAAAACAACAACAACAACAAAATCAAAGTCCAAATCAACATGCAAAGCTTTTCCACTCTGTCAGCTTAAGAGATACCTACACCCCAGGCTGACAAGTCAGAGTCAACAGCTTGCTATCCTTCTCCAGACCATAAAGGATTCCGGTGTTCAGGGCTCTGAAAGCAACCTAGGGAAGGCAGCCTAAGTGCCTCAGGCCCATGTGGAGCACCAGTCCCTTTCATTTTCCATTCTCTGAACAGATTCCTGCCATACCACTGGCTGCTGCACCAGGCCTCCCCCACGGCTAAGCAAAACTGAGGAAGTGGAATAGGAATGTTGCTTGCCATTGCCCTAGAGGCTACCCAGGACCAGAGACAAGTGCAACATCCTACTCACCTTCACTCCCAGTAGCAGACATCAGAATGTGACTGTTACCCTTTGCAATAAGGAAATAAGGCAGTAAATAACCCTGAAACGATCTCTAAGGGTTCTTCCTAGTACACATACACACATGTGAAGCAACATGCACACAAGAAGCTTTCCAAACTTAGTTAAGCAGGTCAAAGTAGGCTATTTCAAAATTTAACAGGGAATGATACTCACATCCAACAAGCATTCCAAAAAGTCAGTGACAAGGTATCTCAAACCAGGCAAAGAAGAGCTAGATAAACCCCTAGACTGTCAATACTGCTGAGAGCATTGCATAGCTAGAATTATTGTGGGAAAGGTAAACACTCCAGCAGAACTCACAGCAACTTCCCTGTGCTAGGAAAAGAGAGGTGGGACTGCCATTCTTCAGCTTTGTACACCAAAGCAATTCAAGTCTGGGATTTCTGATTTTTACACATCACTCAAGCAGTGGTCTAACAGACACCTTCTCTTTTCAGGAGGAAAGAAAATATTAATGTAGATTAATCACTAGTTCTGAACCACCATCAGACCAGGAAAGGTCACCTGTCCCTTACTGCAACACTGCAGCTGTCTGGATATCCACTTCCACATACTGATATATCTGGAAGGAATGAAGTACAAGATGCATGCATGTGCAGTTCCAAATGGTTTAACTGTTGTCTATAGAAGGAAAAGGACTTATTCAGTCTCCTTACAACAATAACAATGAAATTGTTTCTGATTCTACATATGAAAGATTTCTTTTTAGGTAAGAGTAACTCTGGTAGGATTAAGTCAACAGCTTGTTTAAGAAAAACATATGTTGGTATTTGAGCTGACAATGAGTGGGCAAGGGAAAGAAGGAAGTAATAAAGGAAGTGAAATAGTGGTAAGAAGTTTATGGACAACATGCTGGCACATATAGTGAAGGCAGTGCATCTGTCCTTGTCCTTCACGGCAGATCTAGTCTTTGTCTGAAGGAAGTGAGGTCCTGTATAGGTCCAGGTTCACAGGTTCTTTCCTCTGGATACAGCATTCCTTTCAGAGCAACACATCAGTAGTATAGCTGTACTTCAAGAGCTGCCACATCTTCAACACATTCAGTACACTGCCACCAGTCCACTGCAGCATGGCTGTATGGTTCACCCCTCCCCACCCAAGGCTTTTACAAATATAGCTTAATTGATTCATCATGTTAGCTCTCCCATTGCTGTGCTCTGCATGGCACCACACTTCAGCAACCTCTCTCAGCATTCTCCACACGTAAGATTTGTTTAAAGCCACTAATGCGGGTAAGCAGAAGGAATTTTTCTTGCTCTCTTGCCACTCTGGTGGGTAACCATATTGTTATAGTCCTCCTATGCTTGGAGGTACAAGTGGTAGTGAGGGCGGGGGAAAAGTAGAACTCTTTAAAACTGAGTCCAATTAGGATTTTAAAGTATGATTTTATTATATCTGGCCTCTGTTCAAAAAAAAGAGAGGTTAATGACAAAACCTATGAGACACAAACATTGCTACTCATCAGAAAATAAAGGAGTCATCCAATTCATACAAGGCATACCAAATCAAACTGTCCGTTATGGCCTTTAAACCCTACAAAGCATGCCTCTACATACAACCCAACTACAAACAGGAAGAAAAGCACAAAACACCTCCATACCAGAACACCCTCCAAGCATTCCAAACACAGGTCCTGACTCTGTGAACAACCTCCTCTCAGAAAGGAGGTATGCACAGGCTAGAGCTCCACATCGAGAAGTCTTCAAGTGACAAGCAGCGGGTAATATACACGGTTCTTCTCATTTGTATATATAAAGGAAAAAAAAAACAGGTCTATCTGCTTGCTTTCTTTTATTCTAGGAAGAGCCAAGAGATGTATTCAATATTGCCTGACAGTAAAGTTTTATTCTTAACAGAATAGAAATGTAACCAACAACTGATCAGTAAAACTACCACTGACTCTCACACTTCAAAATGCAGGTTATACTAAGTTTGTCACACCCAACTAGACTGTATGACTGGCTTTTAAATACTTTTATTAAAAGCTTCTATCAACAAATACGCATACTTGTCCACCTACAGCTGTCGTTCCATAGGCTCATTCCCAAAAGGGAAAGTTCACCACCTCAGTTCTCCCTGCCTGCTTCTCTGAACCCTATGCATTCACAAAGTCTGCTCTTTACATCAAGTTTAGCTCTTACCAGATTCTTGTAAGGTTCTTCAATCCACTAGAGCAGGAGAAAGCTATTCACATTGGTGTCAGTCCTCTGTAAGCAAGGACAGAGGAGGAAACCATACCTTTTGATAGCAGTGACTTGTTCTCATACAGCGTTTTGACTGCAACCTTGATTTGTGATTTCAACAGGAGTCATTATCTCAGTCAGCACTCACCTTGCATCATACTCCTGTAGGCTGTGTCTGTGATGGCATAGATATGAGGGGGCATCTCATGTCTCTTTTTGCCTTTGTACATCTCCACTATTTCTTCTGAGTATATGGGCAGGTTCTTATAAGGATTGATTACCACGCAGAACAGGCCTGAGTAGGTCTGGAAAGAAAACACCCCAGGAAATAAAGACAGGAATTTAAAATACTGTATACTTGCACATTTTAACAGTATATTACTTGGAAAAACAAACTAAGCAGTCATTTTTTAAAATGCATCTTCCAGTGATGCCATGTGGGATGCTCCCCACTAAGCAATATTAGAATCTGGGCAACAGCTAAAGTCATATCATAGCTTGACAAGTACTCAACTTTTCCAAGTATGCACAGAGCATCAGCTGACACATTAGTCACACTGTTAACAAACTGGCCTGCTCCCTGGCTTGGGACTGGCTAGGACTGGCTTTTATTCCTTTCAGAGTTCCTGTACTCATTATAGGAATTCCTACAGTTCATTTCATTATAGAAGGTAGGTGCTCAGCTCTTAGAATCATGCATTATATTATGTTCTAGCTCACATTTGCTATGGATTTATCCAGTTGAACTGATCAACTACAACATAATAAAACTTTAAGTTACTAAAAGAAAAATAAGACCAGTGTATCCCTAGAGGTTTTCAAGACCACTGGACTAGGCTGAATTCAGTGTTGACCCTGCACTGAATAGGAAGTTGGATTAGATGGCCTCCTAAAGACCCTTCCAGCCTGAACACTTTGATAGTTTATAATGTAACAAGTATAACTAGAACTAGATTCAAAACTGTAAGGTCATTAATGTAGTATAGTTCTGAACAAGTCAATATAGAAAGGAGTTCTAAAGTATTCCATACTCAAAGAGTCAGCAACATTTGCCGAAGTTTACTTCTAATTCATCTCAAATGGTTAATTCATTGATCTGTGACAGCAAACCTTGATTTCTCAATTGGTTTTCACTGGCAGAAATTCTACAGCTCTAAGGGAATACAACCGTCAAAATACTTGTAGTGAAAATATTAATCTTCTTAAAAGAAAAAAATCTTTCAGAACTGAACACACAAAAAAAAAAAAGCCCTAACACACACTTTACTTGCAAAGGGATCAGGAGGAGCAGAGTATTTCCTAGATATTTTAAGAATAGCATTCCAAGCCTTGCTCCTGGGGTTTAGAGCTACCCCAATTCCCTAACAATTTTTAGAAGCAGCTGTTTGAAACATCTGGAGAGGTGTAGCTTGCAGTGCTACCAGAAGAGACAAAATTTGGCACTTTTTATTTCCACTGCTACCATCTCTTCTACTGTTTGCTCAATGAAGAGTGCTTCATAGTGATAGAGTTCTCCACAATGAGCACAGAGAGTACTTAATCAGATTTAGCCTCTTTAGCTAAAGGTAAGGATTAGACTACAGTGATTAGAAGGGTGAAAGTAGCACCTACTACACAATTTACAGTCTTATATCCAAATTTTCTACATGCTAGATTAACATTAAGTAATTAGCCCACTCTTATATGCAGTAGCTTCAGATACAACCTTCACCCTATGTCCCATAGAAAGTAAAATTTTTATAGGTAAAGTTTCTTTTCCATACCCCAGTATAAACTGTCAGGATATGCTTCCAGACCTACTTTTTTTTAAATTTTATTTTTCATTTAATACTTGAGAAATATTTTAATAGCTTACAGACAATAGTAAATCTCTTTCCAAAGTGGGAAATGATGAAAGTTGGCTAAAAGCCCTGTCACTAAGAGTCCTAAAGTTCCAGGAAGCTAACCTGCAGTGAGACACTATAGTCAGGTTAGGTTTGAGGTAATGCTTGAAAGGAACAGTTTAAGGACTCTGCAGAAACCAACTTGGCAATACTAGTTCCTTTTGCCTCAGCCTTAGTTCTCCATCATGCCAGACAGTACTTGTTCAGCACAGAATAGCAGCTGAAAGACTGGGTCATGCTTTCCTGACCTTTGACTACACTAGTGGAAGATAAAGTAGAATCAAGAGGTAGAAAGGAGTGGACTCAAGAGTGGTATGTCCACAGTACATGTAATACACCTTTTCCTTATAGTGGCATGGATATAATTAACATTGGAATCAACTAAACTGTTAGAAGAAAAGCTTAATTTTATCAGAGTTCTGGAAAACAAGTAAAGAAAAACCCTCCAGGCTGCCAGTTCCAGTTGTCTGCATTAGCAACCATCTTGCCCCAAATCCCATGGCAGCAGGAACATGCACGTAGTAATCAAAAGAAGATGCCCTATATGGTCCCTATTCACTCTCACAACAAAACTGTAACTCATGCCACAGACCAAACCTACCTCTCCTTTGAAGATGTTAATAAAGCTAAAAGCCTGTTTGCTGCTTCTGGGGAATAAGTAGTGAAAGTAAAAGTGGCAGCAAGCATTGTGGTAATATTCTACAAGGAACGTAAAGTTTTCTTGTCCATATTTGTGTGACTTTTTATGGCCATGTTTGCTGACAAATTAGAACTGTGGCTTTTCAAGTAAGAATAGTAGAAAGGTCTGAAGCTGGGCTAAAGCAGTCTTACAGATGAGAGCAGCGGTTTAGAAAACGGAAGACATTAATTTCAATTAGGGTGATGAAGCCATGAAGGAGGTATGCAGGAACAAGGTATCACCTTCTCCCAGCATTCTGGCTGCCAGGAGAAATACCTAAGGAAGTTTCCTTGCAATATAATGATCTCAGACAGATGTGTGAGGTGGTATTTTTGTCTAATAAAGAGAGGCAACTAATCATAGCTCGGATAGGCAACTATATACCAAATGCTGGTCAAGCACACTGACAGAATTTTATATAAGAAACAAGTTGAATATACTGAGAAGAAGCTGCCAGCCCTAGCACAGAGAAGACAAGAGTCATCTTCATCTTATTAAAGTACAAGTAAAGACTTACATGCATAAATCCCTGAATTGAACCCAAGGCTCCAATTGAAAGGCTAATCTATTATAAGCATAGCTGGCTTGGAAATCTGTCCTTTGTTTCAGACATTACTATCTCAAAATAGAAATCTGGCATTACCTTTCGCTAACAATTTCAAGTGACACATGGGCCAAACTGGAACTAGCTTTATTTTTCTAACTGCTAAACTAGCTATGAAGAGCTGAAAGGACCATCTGCATCATGGCACAAAGCCAACAGCATCAGAAAGTTTATTTTCCAGCAACTGTTAACTTCAGCAAAATAACTGGAACACATAAGGTTGAGTTTTGAGTTTCACACTGGATACAAAACAATGCAGTTCAGGTAAGCAACAGAGAAGTTGAAAATTATCTTCTGATAAAGCATTCTGGATAGAAAGGGTTAATATGAAAGACAGTTTATCAGCCAGTCACCTCAGTGCAAAACCAGTCAGCACATGGAAACAGCAAATTGGTGTCAGACTTGCTCTTAGTTCTTGAAATGTTTGACATTCCCTGCTTAAAATCTGTCTGCAGGAGCCATAAGATTTCCCCCTTCCCTTTTTAGGATGGGTAGACAAAAAAATAAAGTTTAAATTAAAAAGAAAGAAGAAAAAAGCCACAAAAACACACAGTCCTGCTGGCAAAGGAGAGAGAAGTGACAAAAGCAAAACTAAATTATGCTTATGATCTTTCCAGAGACATTTATGCTAGACATACATTGCGTGTATTCTCTTTCTTCAAGAGGATTAATGATCAACTAACAGCCACTCCAATTAAAGTATTTTAAGCCTTCCCTTTAATCTCCTGACTTGCTGAGAACTGCTGACAGGTGAGATCAGTCCATTTCACAAGTGCACAGAAAGATGGTTTTGGCAAGACTAAGATTCTTTAACAGAGAATTACTATGCCATGTTTACTTGGGTGAAGGCGTGGGGATTTTTTTAACACTTCTTACAATCCAATCAACTCAATTTATTACAGCCACAGACCATGTGTGAAATTTCAGACGATATCTTGCAAGATATATGAAACAGTGCGTATGCATAGTGTGCAAACAGACTGAGATGCTGTTGAATTATTTTCAAAAACTTATTACATAACCTAGTAATGCTTCCTGTTCTAAAAATGCTACACATGATCTTGAACATCCTATTTCATCTCAATACCAAGATTCTTCCCTCTGAGAATACTTTCTGATCAATAGTCAGTAAAGTTACTGACTACACAGTGTAATTAACTGCATCAACCTCTAACCACATTAGCTCTCAAATTCTTGACATCATACAGTGGGAGTCAAACTAAATTTATATCAGCTTTGCATCCTTCATATGTTCCCTGATAATCTCTGCAACAGTAGTCTATATGCTTTCGTGCCACTCCAGAAGAGCAGTGGTCACAGCACTAGACAGAGTCAAGAGTTTCTAGGTTGTGCTGATTAACTTAGAAGGCAACAGTTCACAAAGGTTTCTACCCAAGATGGATAGCTAGGGTGAATTCCTGCTATGTGGTGGTTTAGATACCATCAGCCCCTGTTAGGGCAGAAGAGATCATCTATTGCTTGCCACATAAGATGACTACATAAAAGACTATATCCCTATGGGTATGACAAAGTAGTAAGCACTCCAAAAAACCGTGAAACATACAGACAGATACTGCAGAGAGTTTTTACTTACACTGTTTTTTCCATTTGTCAAGAGAGGAAACTTTTGGGAGCACAAAAAGTGTGGGGAGGGGAAATCTAGACAGACTTTCTTCAAGGACTGTATTAATATATGTTTATGTGTTAAATGTAATTATTTCATACATTTTATTTTAATAGATCTTCTAATCTACTGTGAAGATGATTTCATAGTGCCTAAAAATATTCAACATCCTGCATTTCTACATCCCTTGGGATTCCATCTCAGGCAGTCCCATTTTAATTCTGTAAGAAGAGGCTAGTCTGAGAATAAATAAACCAAGAAACACTAGTTCATGTTTTAACCAGTCACAGCACCCAAATTTTACATTACCACTGAATTGAATAATCCCTTCTATGCCCGAAGAGTATTAATAAGGTAGAGGCTATCATGACCAACATCTGTTAGCTAAACAGAGGCCACATGAAGAGGAAAATCAGAAAGGACCTGAAGAACCAGGTCAAGGTTCCAAATTCTCCTTCCCACCTTTCCCTGTTTATTGCTTTTGGTATTCAGTGAAATTGCTGCATGCTTTGTTGGGTATAATTGCTGATGCCATAAATGCTATCTTTGTCACTTCCACAGCAATAAGAAACAGGATTCTCTGCTCTTGTCCATTTTGTGGTGGAAAGAAAAGGAAGTATTTCCTATCTGTAAGCACATGCAGGTAGACATGTGCCTTCTCTAGTAGGACACTGAGATCCAGAATTTTTAGAACACAAAAAGCTTGGCATTAACATTCATTCCTTCCCACTGAAGGTCCAGACGTGGGAAAGGCAATTCAGATGTTAGGTATATCGGGACTCTGTTTTTATTGTTATTTGGTTCAGTTCAGATCAGACTCCCTGTTTACCACTTTCCAATTGCTCTCGTGATAAAAGTACGTTAAATGGCATTCAAAACATCCTGCAAATGAAGACAGTAAAATGTTAAATACAGATTTACCACAGCATACCCTGAAAGCTTCAATAGAGGGGGATAGGCTTCAAAAGAGGGGGATAGGCATAGTTTAGTGAAAAAATTTTAAGTAGAGGGAAGAAGCTGTCACATGACAGTTGCGTATAGGGGCAATGAAAGGTTAACATACACATTTTAGAAGCAAAGTGGTTACAGTAAGTTCAGTAATTATTGTGGAGCCTTACCCCAACATCAAGATTACTTACATAGATCAGTCCTGAGTAGTATCTCTCCTTCAAATTGTGAAGTACAGAAGCTTCATTCAGGCATGTCAGCTCCGCCATATCTTCCACTTTAGAGAATTTGGGGGGGTTCATCTTCTGGATATCATCCTTATTTACTTTCACTTTCTTCCCATTCTCTGCCAGTTCCACAATGGCCTCATCTCCTACTTCTTCCTTCAGGCTAGCTGCCTCAAACCCATTCTTCTCTGAGGGAACCCATACCAGCTTCTTAGCTGCCCAGTCAGCCTGAGTCAAGGGGTTATTAATGATGTTTTTGTCCACATAAAGATACTTATCTGCATCTCTTTGCGACATTGTGCTTTAGAATTGGGGACCTGTGAAAAGAAGGGGAGGAAGATATTTTTAAAGCTTCAAGTTGCCTTGCAATTCCTAGAGACAGACAGGCACATGCTAAGTACTCTGAAGCCCTGGTCATCAGAGCATATCTCCCCCTCCTTTAGTTTCATGTTAGCAAGCACTGGTAAGTTGTCAAACTTCCAATAAGGTCAAGGTTTGCTTGCCAAGATGAAAAAAAAAAAAAAAACACCAAACAAAAAACCCACCACAAAACAAAACTAGCAAGCAGTTAAAAAACCCCACTACAGCAAAACACTGACTTTTAAGCATTTGGAAGCCATTATTTAGGAGAAAAGAGAAAGTACATTAAAGCAGCAAGCATCAAACAATTTGTAAGATATGTCAATACTCATCAGATACTATGTTTGTAACGTTCAGATCAAGATCAGCCCTTCACTGCTCTACTTGGTAAAGATATTACCTCAGAAATACAATCATAAATGTTTAATCAACACTTACTTCCTACCTCCTTGTTCTGATAAGCTACAAATCAAAAAGCACAACTTCTTAGAAATGCCACATACCAGTTTAGACAATACATGAGACAAACTTTGCTTCTAAAAGACATCATCAGTAATTTGAGAACACCAGCCAAGACCAACATTAGATACTTTCCATCACCAGCTTAGTAGAAACATGCAGCACACTAGTATCTTTTTTTCTAGATAATGTTCAGTACCAAAATACCTCCAAGTCAGTAACAGAACAAAGCTGTGGTCAGGAAGTTTTACAGCCAAAAATCCTCTACTGGGATCCTTCCATAAAGCTGTGGTCAGGTAGAGAAGAGAGTACCATCCCTACAAGAGGGAGATTTAGGCAGCATGCTCAGAAAATGGCACCCTAGATTTAGTGTTTCATCAAAACCAGAACACTACCACCAGGGATTTTTCCAGTTTAGAAGGCAGCAATTTTATTGGTGCCATTCAGAAGTCTTTTCAATCAGAAGAAAGGACTGCATGCGTCAAGGCTCATTAACCATGTAACAGCAGCTTCTTTACAAAGTCCCACGAACATTACTTCTTGGATCCTTCCTCACAAAGATACCAGTGTCCTCAATATATGTTTTTCATAACTTGCATAGAAGCTAGAGCTCTTTACCATCAAAAGAACAGGAAATGAAAATACCAATATTCATGTCATGAAAGGCTGTCAATATCTACAGGAAAAACTTTTCTACAGAACATACCCATATTTACAAACCAGTGTGCAAATCAAATAGGTGAAGTCTAGACTACAGATACTGCAGACAAAAAGGTATATAGAACAGGACAGAAGCAGCTCAACTCCCAAAATATGCATGAGAGCAACAATAGATGTTGAGTCCCAGCATTAGCAAGGAGTGAACAAAGCCAGAAAAACATCAGCTATAATAATGATGGGCACAGATGCCCACACCAGTCATTTGTAAGCATGTAGGGAGGAAATTCCTTTCAACAAATGTATCCCTGTATGTGGCATGCAACTTTGTGCCAGAGACTGTATGGATAGATGTACTCTACAAATAATCGCTTCCTTTAGCTTGAGTTTAAAATCTTTGTCGTATGCTTTACAGGATATGCCAAGCTGCTATTCTACACTTTACCTCATCTTTCCTTCCCCACAAGGTCACTGACACTTCCACCACAATCACCCCAATGCCAATTCTCAGAGCAACTCCTCCTCCCTGGTTTTCCATATTTTTATTGAAAATCCAGTATTTTAGTGGGTACACAACAAAGGGATTTGTTGCAGAGATAAGATGTAGCAATCAGGAGACTGCTGCGACAAACCTGAGCTGTCAAGAGAGCTCCAGGACCATTCATCCTATAACAGCTAGCCTGACGGTATGTAGGAAATAGAGAAGACTAACAATTGAACAAAAGATATTGAGGTTCCATGACATTGCAGAGTATCACATGCAAGTTGTGGTCAAAGGGTTAAAAAAAAGGGAGTGGAGGGAAGGAGGGGAAAAGGAAAAAAAAAAAAAAAACAATTGTGTTCAGAGTTGTATCAGGTTTGGCAAGGCAACAGCTGTGCTCTACCCTCCATTACACAGTTTCCTGCCGATGCAACTTCCAGAATCTAACCAGTTGCCTTTTTTGGCTATAATCAGGCAGGACACAGAGGCAGTATGCTTCAGCTAAATTCAGTTTCATCATTTCCTCAGGAATCCTAAGTAACCAGCCATCTGAATTGTCCTACATTGCACTGAAACATATTCCCGACTTCCTTACTGTTACAGTACATGCATGCAATATTCAATATACCTTGGAGATTTATTCTGGGGTAAAGAGTAATTATTTTTGGATAAGAAACACATAAGACCACAAGAAATCTTTCAAGGGGTATCCCCAGCCAGTTCTAGTTCTTATGAAGAGAACTAAGGAAAGAAAACAGAGAGAAGTTCATCAAATTCCCCACAAGAGGAAACCCCTGATTTATCTTGCATACAGCAAAACTGCATTCTTCAGCCAGTAAGGCATCATTCTATAGCATCTATCCCTTTTTATTGTCAGGACTGAAAACCACAACTTTCACAGTAAGAAGAGAAATATCCTAACATGGATATTCTAAAACCTCACCAAACACTTAAGTTTCTTATGCCAGTAAGTACTTATACCAAGTAGTGAGGAGATTCAAGACGGTTTGTACCTCAAACTTTAAACGGACTTGAAAATTATCCTATTGCATGGCAGCAGCAAACAGTCTTACTATCACCATCTCAAACTAGTTTTCCTATGCTCCAGAACAGAAGCATCAGGTACTAGAACTAAAAAAATGGAGGATCATGCTAAGATAACATGGTATTAGTGCTATTCTCAAGGCTGACTTCTAACCCACAGTGCCTCTAAACTAGCAATACCACAAAACCAACCATTAATTTGCCTTCTCCACAAGAACAGTACCAGAGAAATCAGATTCAGCAAGTTCCATCTTATGGGGTCTGAAACTTATATTCCTAGCTTACGCTGATTTTTCACTGGGCATTTCTAAAAACCCCTTATGTGGTCAAGGAAGTAAGCACAATAAGCTCTTGCAACCTTACAGCAACTCGCAACAAATGCAAGTTATTACCATTTTAGGAGCAAATTAGGAAGCAATTTGTTTGAATTTTGGGTGTAGATAATTATGTGGGGCAAGGACATTTACGTTTACATGGCTATCACGCAACTGTCAGATGAGAATACCATTAACAGTATTCTTTTTGATGCAACACCAGTCTATAGGTAAGAAGACCAAAGAATACAGAAGGAAGGCAGACATACCATCCTTGGTTTGAGTTTAAATGCCTCCTTCCTAGTATTGTTTCCAAAAATGAAATACTACAGTCATTTCCCTGTTAACCCAGTCTGTTCCTTTATTGTGGTTCATAGCAGTCTGAAGAACAGGCTAGTCAAACATTGCTTGCTGCCCATTATTTCAGGTGCCAAAAGACATTCTTTTGCCCTTTAATTAACTACATAATTGTTACAAAGATGCCATTCAGTTACAGATGAAGGCAAAGAGATCTCTACAGTCGTGAATAACATAGGACCAAGACATTAACAACATGTAGTCCAACCTTAAAAAAAAATTTCAAGAACCCTTTGCATACACATTTCCCTGCAGATTCTTTTGAGATTAACAAATTAAGCACTGGCTTTAAATTAAGATGCCATGCATTCCCTTTGAACTAGGCAGAATTACCCAAAACTCTAATTTGAATACAGTCATATGGACAAAAGTTTGTCTTAGCCTCCTACAATTTCATAGCTTTAAGGCTTGAATTGTGAGACACTTCACACACTCCTTTCCCTACTTAAAGCATCAAGTGCTTCCCAAAAACTTGGAAACAAAACATCTTGTCTGGCTTGGAAGTGTCTAAAAGATGCTTTTGTTACAAGGTTCCTTTCTTTCAATTACAGTGTTTTGCAACTGCTAAAAGCACAGAATATTATCTGTTTGCAATTTTCCAGAACTATTTGTATTTCCCCCCACCCCTCAATGTTTACTCTGTCAGCAGCCACAGAATTGCTTCTGGGAATGAGCTACTGCTCAATAAAATGAGCTTGGGCTATGTTAAAACTATTGAGGTAATCCTGAAGTAGAAATAAAATTAATATAGTCAGAAGAACATTAATGGCAACAAGTAAAGCATCACGCTTGCCAACAAGTATTAGAGTAGCACCTAGGCAAGGAAAGTACTTCTAGTTTTGAGTTATCAAAACTGCCATTAAAGTAGGGATCCTTGCACTGTTCATTTTAGGCTTCAGCACCATTATTAGCAAAAAATGCATTACTACACTGGAACAGAGCACTTTAATCACAAACCATTTCCCTACTTTAATTAATTATGAGGAATTTGTGAAATACTGGGCTATAGAGAACATAAAATAGCCAGCTACATGTACTGTATACTTGCTGATTCAGATTACCATTTCAGAAATTTGCTATGACTGAGCCTGCATGAAAAGGGACATATGTGGGTAATTACCAGTTTTCTTCTGCTTCATATCCACCAGCAAGGCACTGCTATAAAAAGTTTCTGTGATTTCACATGAAATGATCCCCCCACATGGTTTGTCTAGTGGCCTTTATACTACCAGTACAAGAAGAACTACCCTAAAGATCAGGGTGACAAAAAGCATGAACATAAATAGCAGACACATTTAGACTAAAACAAATTAATTTCCCTTTCTTTACACAGTTCACATTTTAAAAGTATTTCAAGAACACAATTATCATGTCATTTTCCAAACTGGCTTACCTTTAGCAGGTTGTGAGAGAATGGCATGAAAAACATAAGGTCCTTTCACGGAGCAAAAGTAATGTATAGCATTTCTACAGGCAAGACAAGACTTCTACTCTAGAAGATTACACTACTACTGGTCACTTACAGGCCCTTTTCACTTACAACTAAATTGTCCTCAGTAAAGAAACTTGATTGTTAATACACAGGTTGTAAAAAATAATCTGACTTTGAGAGAAGCTAATAGCTCAAACTAAGTTTGGTCAGTAA